TGTCTATCTGCCCTCCAACACAGGATGGTCATTCACATCCACCTTTCAACACAGGATAGCCAACTTTAGTGCCCATCCGCCCTCTAACACAGGAAGATCAACTTCAGTGTCCATCCAATTATCAAGAGAGGATGGCCAGCCTCACATTGCCCATCATATTTACCAATGTCCGGTGAGAATATCCCTTCACTATCACATTTATGTTTCTCCTTGAGTATGTTATATATTTTCTTTCCAATACAACTTCCTGAATGGCCAAAGGTCAATTTTGGTCGCCTGTGACAACTTCCCGAATAACCAAAAGTCCATTTGGTCGCCTCTAAAGATTTCCCAAATGGCAAAAGTTCATTTCGGTCGCCTATGAAAATGTTCCCAAATGGCAAAGGTCCATCTCGATCGCCTATAAAGATTTCCCGAATGGCAAAGGTCCATCTCAGTCGCATATGAAAATTTTCCCGAATGGCAAAGTCTATTTCGGTTGCCAGCGTCCCGTATAGATATCCCTTCTTTCCAATCGACATATCTCTTATTATTGGACTACTTCTACTCCGGTATTATTTATTATACGTGCCACCAACAATGCTTATTACAGAAGAAAACCATATGTATTTATCATCAAAATCTCCATCTTGTCTCCCTTGGAACACATTATTTATTATATAAGTTTGTATATGCAATATTATTTACTCTGGAAGCTGCATCAACAATCTAGACCTGTTTAAGACCTTTCTTTGTGGAATGCTTGTACTCAAAGGATCATCTTGTTGGCCACCTATTTTCTTTTTATATGCGCTACTTAAACTGGAAAATTCTCTCTTAATGGCATGCTCTTTGGTCAAGATATGATCGATTTTTTGGCTCAATTTTCTAAAGACGAAATAACACCTTAGCTAAGCTCCTTGTTACAGTTAAATGACCTAGCAGCCGACCGCCTCACGATTTGCCTTTGTAGAAGTTGTCTTCCTTACTAGTCAGGTTTCAAACATGATGGCCAGGCATAACAGCCCAACACCATGCCCGATCGACATAGATGGTCGCTGAACAAGACATTTTATTTGAGAGCATGGGAGCAGTCCAGGTCTTCTGAAATGTGCTCATGCGTTCATTATTTCTCTCTTCATATGAGCATATCACTTTATTTTGTCTGCATGACACTCGTTAGAGCATGACCATGTGTTTGAAGACAACGATGCAATCTCCTTCGTCGAAGCTTTTCTCTCTAGGCTCATCAATGTTCGTTCTAAAATAAAGCGCAGATGCTTGCAACTCTAACGCGTGAAGACCCAAGTGCAAATTCTCGAGAATCGACCAAAGGCACATGTAAATATTGCAATTCGCTGGCATGATGTCTGGCCAAGTTATCATACTGAATATAATTATCATCATCGGTCAGAAATGGAGGCCAACATTATAGCTCGAACATCATCTTGAAGCCATGAAGACTTCCCTCGGCCGATACTGAGAGCACTTAATGTTGACCACACTTCAACAAAAAGGTGTGTATACTCGCATCAGAAGCTAACATAATGCCAGAATGGTGAGTAGTTCCTGAGTACTATTTCCGGTTGGTTCACAAACTAACACAATGCCTATCAACCTGTTGGATAATTTTAAATTAAATAAAAGAAAAATAGAAAATGAAAGGTTTATGGTGAAAAGTTGTGTCCCTAGGTATATGTTAGTGGACAATTAATATGTTTAGATTTCCTATGTTAGCCATTATCACTCTTAATCATTTTCTATTGCCTATAAATAGCACACTATAACTCTTGTAATTCGGTTTTGGCAGAATCAGTAAAAGAATAGAGGTATATTCAGATATTTTCCTGTGTATTTGTGTGTGTGTGAGCACCAGTTATAGGGCCTGTGAAATAACAAATTGTATCAGAGCTTGAGCCAATGGAGAATATGAGTAATAGTCTGCCAGTGCCCCGCCTGACAAAGGTGAACTATGAAAACTGGAGCATCCAAATGAAGGCTCTTCTAAGAGCCTATGACAGTTGGGGGTTGGTGCAAAATGGGTTCGAAGAACCTGAAACAACGGAAGGATATTCAGCAAATCAACTCAAGCAGTTGAGTGCGTTGAGAACAAAGGATGCAGCGGCACTATTCATGATGTCTCAAGCTGTTGAAGAAAGCGGTGGTCTTGAAAAGATTGGAGGCGCAACGACGACAAAAGAGGCCTGGGATATATTGGAGACGGTCTACAAAGGCGCGGACCGTGTGAAGCAGGTCAGACTTCAAACTCTTCGAGGAGAGTTGGAGGGGATAAAGATAAAGGAAACTGAAGGAGTGTCAGACTCCATCACTAGGGTTCAGACCGTGGTGAACCAGTTGAAACGGAATGGAGAGGTGTTGATCGACTCCAGAGTTGTTGAAAAAATTCTAAGGTCGTTGACAGACGACTTCGAAAACGTGGTATGTGCAATTGAGGAGTCTAAAGACTTGGCTACGCTTTCTGTTGAAGAGCTAGCTGGTTCTCTTGAAGCGCATGAGCAGCGCAAGAAGAAAAAGAAGGATGAGTCTCTTGAGCAAGCACTCCAGGCAAAAGCAACAATTAAGGATGAAAAAGTGTTGTATTCTCAGAATGTCCGAGGTGGTCGTGGTCGAGGTCAGGAGGTGAAACATGAAGAAAGAGCTGAGACGAGTCAGCAAAACTGGAGAGGTAGAGGACGTGGCCGAGGTGGAAGAGGCCGGTGGTCGAATCAAAGTAATATAGAATGTTATAAGTGTGGCAAGTATGGTCACTATGCAAAAAATTGCAACTCGGGCAAATGCTACAACTGTGGCCGAGTTGGGCATTTTGCTAAAGATTGCCGAGAAGAAAGAAGAGTTGACGAGACTTCAAACTTCACTGCAGAAGAAGAAATAAGAGATGGAGGAGTTCTGATGTTAGCACATGGTGAAACTAGCTCGAAGAATGAAACGGAGTGGTACTTGGATACTGGTGCCAGTAATCACATGTGTGGTTACAAACATTTGTGCAAAGAGTTGAGAACGGTGGAAGACGAACATGTCTATTTTGGAGACGCGTCCAAAATTGATGTGAAAGGCCGTGGTACAGCCTGCTTTTTACAAAAGGATGGACGGGTTGGAACAATTCAGGATGTGTACTATATGCCCGAACTCAAAAGTAACATTTTGACCATTGGACAATTGATGGAGAAAGGTTACTCGGTTCCAATGACAGACCAAGTTCTACTATTGAAAGATAAACAAGGGCGTCTGATAGCCCGAGTTCAGATGGAAAAGAACAGAATGTACAAGCTGAGTCTGAGGAGTGTGGAGGTCGGCTGTCTGTAAGCCAAGGTGGAGGATAAGATGTCTCTGTGGCATCGACGGTTTGGACACCTTCATTACGGTGGTCTAGCCGAACTGATGAAGAAGAACATGGTAGTAGGACTGCCAAAGTTAAATTCTGGTGGAAAGTTCTGTGAAGACTGTGTGCTGGGTAAGCACGCAAGAAGCCTGTTCCAAAGGATGGCAAGATACCGGGCTAAGCAGCCCTTGGAGTTGATACATACCGACATGTGTGGACCCATAACTCCAGGGTCCTTCAGTGGAAAGAGATACTTTGTTTCGTTTATTGATGATCTTAGTCGTAAGACTTGGGTATATTTTCTGAAGGAGAAGTCCGAGGTGCTAGAGGCCTTTAAGAGGTTTAAAGTGATGATACAAAATGCAACCGGGAGATACATCAAGTCGGTCCGTTCTGACCGAGGTGGTGAGTACATTTCAATTGCCTTTAAAAGGTATTGTGAAGAACACGGGATAAGGCGGTTCCTGACCGCACCGTACTCCCCACAACAAAACGAAGTTGCTGAAAGAAAGAACCAGACTATCTTGGATATGGTGCATTCTATGTTAAAGACTAAGAATATGCCTAAGGAGTTTTGGGGAGAAGCCCTACAATGTGATGTGTACGTGCAGAATAGATGTCCGCATTCAAGTGTGAATGATAAAACTCCACAGGAGGCATGGAGTGGTCTAAAGCCATTAGTGGCTCATTTCAACATTTTTGGTAGTGTTGCGTATGCACACATACCGAACCAGATCAGAACGAAGCTTGAAGATAAGAGTAAGAAGTTTGTGTTTATTGGATATGATGAGAAGACGAAGGGATACAAGTTATTGGATCCCGTCAATAAAAGGGTGTTGGTAAGCCGAGATGTGAAAGTGAATGAAGAAGATGAATGGGACTGGAGTAGTACATCTGGGGTCAATGTGGAACCCAGAAATATATCAATTGAGGTCGGACAACCTTCGACTCATATCCCGGCAAATCCTGAAGTCTCTGATGATGAAAAAGAGCAGAGACAACCGAGAATGAGAAGCTTGCAAGACTTGTATGACTCAACTAACGAAGCACATCTCGTTTGATTGTTAGCAGATTCTGAGGATTTGAGCTTTGAGGAAGCTGTCCGAAATGAAAAATGGCAATCTTCCATGGAAGAAGAGATAAAAGCTATTGAGCGGAATAAGACATGGGAGTTAGCCGAGCTACCAAAAGGAAGTCGGCTCATCGGTGTGAAGTGGGTATATAAGAAGAAGATAAATGCTAAAGGGGAGATTGAGCGATTCAAAGCCCGGTTAGTAGCAAAGGGGTAAAAGAAGAAAGCTGGAATAGACTATGGCGAGGTGTTTGCACCCGTAGTGAGGATGGAGACAATCAGGTTATTGATCTCACATGCAGCCCAGCTTGGATGGCCAATCTATCAGATGGATGTGAAATCGGCGTTCTTAAACGGTGTACTTGATGAGGAGGTATATCTCGAACAACCTCCGGGTTTCATGAAAGTCGGACAAGAAAGAAAAGTGTTAAGGCTGAAGAAGGCTTTGTATGGGCTGAAGCAGGCACCGCGGGCTTGGAACACCAGTATTGATTCTTATTTCAAGAAGGACGGATTTGAGCAATGTCCATATGAACATGCCCTGTATGTGAAGAAGAAAGAAGGTAATATTTTACTGGTTGCTTTATATGTTGATGACAAGAGTTCGAGATGACGGATCTCGGTCTGATGAGGTACTTCCTTGGTCTGGAGTTCAAACAAGACAAATTCGGGAATTTTGTATCTCAAGAAGCTTATGCAAAAGATATCCTGAAGAGGTTCAAAATGATAGATTGCAATCCGGTTTCAACTTCTATGGAACCCGACTTAAAACTTTCGAAGTATGATGGAGGAGAAAGAGTTGATCCGAGTAATTATCGAAGTCTAGTAGGATGTTTAAGGTATTTAACTTGTACGAGGCCAGACTTGTGTCTAAGTGTTGGGATTATAAGCCGGTTTATGGAAGATCCGGGCTACACACATTGGAAGGCGGCGAAGAGGATATTGAGATATGTTCAAGGAACAATCTCGCAAGGACTTCATTATTCGAAGTCAGACAAGTACAAGCTGGTGGGATATTCAAATAGCGACTGGTGTGGAGATGTCGACGACAGGAAGAGCACGGCTAGCTATGTATTTTTCATGGGAAACACGGCATTCACGTGGGTGTCAAAGAAGGAACCCATTGTGACTTTATCTACATGTGAAGCCGAGTACGTTGCTGCATCCTGGTGTGTTTGTCACACAATGTGGCTGAGGAATCTATTGAGTAAATTGGAGCAAGAACAAGTCGACCCAACCGAGATCTGGGTTAACAACAAGTCTACAATCGAGTTAGCAAAGAACCCGGTCAACCATGAGAGGAGTAAACATGTAGATGTCAGGTTTCATTTCATTCGGGATCAAGTCAAGGAAAGAAGGTGGAGCTCACTCATGTTGCAAGCCGAGATCAAGTGGGTGACATATTTACAAAGTCGTTGCCAACGTTGCTGTTAGAAAATTTCAAGAAGAAGATTGGGATGAAGGATGGTCGAAGAATTTAAAGCTTATGGGGGAGTTTTGTTGGATAAGTTTTAAATTAAATAAAAAAATAGAAAATGAAAGGTTTATGGTGAAGAGGTGTGTCCCTAGTATTATGTTAGTGGACAATTAATATGTTGAGATTTCCTATGTTAGTCATTATCACTCTTAATCATTTGTTATTGCCTATAAATAGCACACTATAACTCTTGTAATTCGGCTTTGGCAGAATCAGTAAAAGAATAGAGGTATATTCAGATATTTGCTTGTGTATTTATGTGTGTGTGAACACCACTTATAGGGCCTATGAAATAACACAACCTCTAAAGGTCCATTCACATACTAGTTTAATAACTCCAATTACTTTGACAACGGGACCAACATAACAAAGAAGTGGAATTCCCTATCTCGGTCTCTCTCTGCTTTTCCTAACTTGGAAGATCGCAACATTATTCCAGAAAAAGAATGGACCAACAACTATGCTCCTGTCTGTACACCATGTCACTGCATTCCACCAAGCTGTTTCATTTTTCTCCTATATCGCAGCAAAGATTATGAAGCATCCCGGTTGAAGTTATATCTACCGTCATAGAGGCTAAAATGCCCTTACCAAACATTAATCACGGTGATATTATGATGGCTTATCAAAATGATAGTGGTTGCAGGTCTACAAGTGGCCACATGATGCAGCAAAGAGGTCGCCTCTATTTTAATTAAACAATTTATCTTATTTATGATCTTAATAAGCCTTTCTCTGACGTATGGTACTGCATCTCCATCAACTCTATGAAGAGATGACTGCTCTTCCCATTAAATGAATTACCTTGTAAAGTCTTTGCAAGCAATTTTAGATATCATGACACCATGATTCCAAGTTTCTAGTATAAACATGACACCACTGGATCCCTTCAACTGATGGAAATATTCATATATCATCTTGAAATCCACGGGGCGTTGTTGTCTGCATAGCTCAAACAGAACAAATAAACTTTTTAAAAAAAAAAAAAAAAAATCCTAAACTCTAAATCTTAAATATTTCTTTTCATTTACTTAATTTCTATTAAAAAAATATCAGTGCTATTAGTGGAGAGAAAAAACTTACAGGGCCTGTGCAATGTTATTGATACATTTCTCAGATTGATTAAAGAACATGGTCAGAAGCTCTTCCACAAAATGTGGACTCTCATTTTCCAGTTCATGAAGCTGTTTGAACTGATCATCCAGAAATCCCTACTCGCCGCAACGATAACGAACACATTACCCCACGTTTAGAGTCAACCAAGTCCCAACAAATCCAAATTGGACATTGAGAAAAAAAAAACTTAAAATTGAAAATGGTAATCGGTACCATCAAAGTACGAAACTTGTGCTTGTTTGATTCATTAAAAAAAAAAAAAAACACGAAAAAAAATCATTAATTAGAAAAAAAAAATATGAAAGAGAGAGAAACAAACATGTTGAAATAGAACGGCTACAAAGACATCGTGCTGCCCCTGCAAACGATTCAAATTCATTGTGGTGGTGTGGTTCAATCTCAAAGAAAATTTGAATACCGTTTTCTGAAGTATCATTACAATATATATATATATATATATATATATATATATATATATATATATTTGAAGAGAAACAATGAAGAGAAATCAATAATTACAAATAGAGTAAACATCATTTTTGGTCTCTGATAATATCTACGAAATCCTTTTTAGTCCCTGACAATAAAAAAGGACCAAATTGGTCCCTAGCAGTATGCAAAAAGGGCCACGTTAGTGACGGAGGAGTTGACATAAGGACTAATGTGGCCCTTTTTTCATAAATTTAGAGATCAATTTGGTCTTTTATTATTGCTAGGGACTAAAAAGAATTTCGTAAATATTGCCAAGGACCAAAAAAAGTGTTTACTCTTACAAATATAATCTGATTTATCATGATGTATCAAATAAAGACAAAACAAATCAATCATAATTACAAGTTTTACACGCATCATTTATTGTAGATTTGATTTCAATATATTTAGCAAGTAATTATTACAAAATTATTTTCTTCATCAAGTTATAAATTGTAGAACAATGTACAGGATTATTCAGAAATCTCTGAAATACCGTTTATATTAGAAGTTTGGACTTGGATGGGGCCTTTTGTTGAAAACCTGAAATTGAATTTGAAAACTTTAAAGGCTTTGCTTGATTTCTGTTCCCAGAACAGTTTTTAAATTTTTTAAAAAAAAAAAAAAAAATTTGTTTGGAAAGAGTTTTTCGTCGGATCTGTTCTAAAAACAATGACAATTTTTTTGTTTTAAAAACTCAAAAAGCAAAACAATACTAGGATGTTTTCTAAAGCTGTTTTCCTGTTTTCTGATTTGTGCGGTGGCATTTCTGTAATTATGGAGTTTCATTAATGGCATTTTCGTAATTAAATGAATTTTAATTTTAATTTTAAATTATTTTACGGTGGAAATCTTGTAAATATGATGATTCATTAATGGCATTTTTATAAATAACTACAACTTTTTTATAATTTTAAAATTAACTATATTCAAATAAGTTTTATTGTTTTTTTACTCTCAAAATCAGTTTTCAAAATTTATCTTCAAAACAGTTTTTAAAAATAAAAAAAACAAAAATACATTCAAATACACCCTTTGTTTCTTTTTTGTAGTTTCGTAGTTTTGTTAAAGAAGGGAAAGTTAAACGGGCATTCCTCACAAATTGGCGATTTGCTGCTTTTGCCTTTGTTTTGCCATATAAACATCACCCCAAATATAGACTCGTTTTAATCTCTTAAAGAAGAAAAAGTTGACTTGTGATCTTTTAAAATTTAAAATAGATTCAATTAGTCAAAATTGTGATTTCTATGAAATTTTAAAGAAGACTTTATAGTAGTCTCTCAAAAATTAAGGACTAACATGAATCTAATTTAAATTTCAGAGAAAACACGAATCGACTATTTTATTAGGGATTAATTGTGCCCCGTAATATTTGTTTAAAACCCAAAGATATTTTACTCTCAATTTGTTTTCTTTTTGTTATTTTTTAAAGTAATTTTTTATTTTAATAAATATATATTTAAACATATTTTTTAGAATAATAAATCGAAAGAAGCCAAATCGGCAAATCCACACAATAAACAATATTTAAATATCTATTTTTCTTTCCTTTTTCTCCATAAGAATTCAAATATTATCTTAATGGGAAAAATGTTTCTGCAGTTAATGCATATAACTTATCTGCATTTATTCTCAAAACGACGTCGTTTTGGTATTAAAATCTTAAAAAATTATAAATATAAAGACTATTATAACCCTGAAATAAATTAAAATTACAAATACACCATGATTTATGTCCCAAAACGACGTCGCATTGGGCTTACTGCAGATAACTTATCTGCAGTAACTGCAGAAAAAGCAATCCCTATCTTAATACATAATTTCTTTTTCCTCCAAGATTATGATGATTATAGAAGTGTTATGAGTCCATATTAGGGATCCATATTCTAGAAGGCTTAAGGAGTACAATAAAAAAAGGTAAACTAAGAGAAATAAAGGAAAAAATTTCTTTCTTTTTTGCAAAAGAAAGGAAAGAATATGTGAATAATGTTAATCTAGTATGACAGCATGCAATAGATTAAACATTGGGCCTCACAAAACTTTTAAAGGTCCAGAACTTCACTGCTATAAGTAAATTATGTAAATAAAAAGTAAAGTTTATATGTATGATACTTATCCTCTTTCTCACTGATTGTGCAAATACCTTTAGTTATGCCACTACTATTTGTGTATAATGATTTGTCACTTTCAAAAAAATCTCCTTCATAGATACTTGATAAAGTCTTAGATCCAAGTTAAATTTACTAATCTTTAACTAGACATCTCTATAACAATCGGATACAACAGGAAGGATGCCGAATTATTACTAAATAATAAAAAATATTTAAATTCTTTTCAAAAGAAAAAATTTAATTATCAAATCAAAATTAATGGTTATAAATTTAATATTTTAAAATTTATTATGATTCCGAGAATTGCGTCCGATAATTATATTTGACTAAATATATTTACGTTAATTTTTAAAATAATAATAGTTACGTTATTCACGATTTTGATTATTATTACGTGGGGTAGAGGAATAAAGATACATGTGGTAGTAAAATTTGAATCCGATGACCATGCCCATATGGCACCATCTTGTTTGATGTGCATCCCATGCAGTCCAGTGTTATGTGCCCCATGCGTGTTTCACCTTGTTGCTCCACTTTAGGGTGTAAATGTGTTAGGTTGAGTTTGACTTTGATTTAAATAGGTTAGATTTGTGTAAAATACTTTAAGCCTAACTTGGTCTATTAGTCTTTTGTATGTCAAAAATTATAAGTTTGGTCTGACCTATATTTAAAAAATAAAATTTTTTGTTATCAAAAAAAAAAAAAAAAAAAAAAAATTGACTAGGTCTGTTAGCCTATTTAAGCTTATTAGGCATTCAACAATTAAAAAAAATATTAATTTATTATTTAAAATCATTAAAAAATGTTATTTATTTTATTAAAAATAAATAGAATGATATAGGCCTTCATGTAGGTTTATAGGCATGATCATTAAAAATGTTACTTATTTTATTAAAAATAAATAGAATGATATAGGCCTTCATGTAGGTTTATAGGCATGACATATATATATATATATATATATATATATATATATATATATATATATATATATATATATATAAATCTGGCATGTTTTCTAGATAGGTTTTTTTAAAAATCTGAGCATGTTCTATTTGACTATATATAATAGACCGAGTCTAACCTGATGTAGGCTGGATCGTAGGCTCCTGTTAGGTCGCCTGACCCATTTACATCCTACAACTTGACAATATCGCATTCTCATATGTCATGTAAGTTTGACTACATTAGATCCTTTTTAGGAGTAAAACTTTGATACCACTGAAGTACTTAGGTGGTAGGGGTATTCGTGGCCTAGA